ATACTTTTCTAATTACTGATGTTCTGATAAGCTTTAAGTACCAATTAGAGTAATTTTTGTCTCATGTCCCACAACCTGGAATATGAATTTCCCTCATTAACTACCAAAACACTGGATAATGCAGAGTAAGAGCACATTCTTCACTTCAGCTAGTTGAAAATTACTTTAAGCAACATAGAAGTTGCTGCCTACAGTGGCATTTGTAAGTCTACAGTGCACACCAGTGGAATACAGTAGTACATGCATTTTTTCATTCTTTTCAGTCTAATATAAAATTGCTTTGTAAATATTCCATCTTATTTAATTTTCAAATCTCCTACAGGAATTTTAAAGACAGATATAAAATTTTGAGGAAGACTTGCAATGAGTATAAACAAGAATGTTTTATTGTGCATGTTATAAGATTAAGTGACCTTTCTAAAACCTAAAACTTTAACTGTCTTGCTAACTACAATTCTGTGTTTACAAACATCAGGGCAACACACTAAGGATTTGCTCTGTTTAACAAGGAGTCTAAACATCTAAGTAATCAGACTCAGATACACTTTTTGTGTTTCTCAGACTCTTAGTTAATTGATTGGAAAATAAACTGTATCTGACAAAATTGAGTAGTCCATTTCTGGGAACATTCAACAAATTATGTTATTAATGTAGAAATGTTCATGTTCTTCAGAGAACTTAAAGATTCTTGGTTTTTCCAATAAAGTGTAGTTTAACCTCAAATATATCTAATGTCAACACCATTTATTTTATAGTTTTACAAACTTGATTTTTACCCTTCTGTGGAGTTTCATGCAAACACAATAAATGTAATTTTATACTGAGTAGTTGTTTTTCCCTTTTTTAAAATATCAGTGTTTTACAGCTGTTAATATGTTATTTTTAATATATGTGGAAAGCAAGGCATAGAAAATATTAGTTGATTTAGTATCCCACTAAGAGCTAAAAGTTCCTCTAGGAGTATAAGTGAAGCTTATTAACTAGACAGTACATACAAAATGTCTTTTACAGCTAAGAAATATAGACACATAAATCTCAGTTTAAGATGTGATTTTATGGACTGAATATTGTTTAACAAGCTCATAAATAGGTCTCTTCAAAAGCTGCAAAGGTATCTAGCAATCTCTGATACTGATAGCAATCTTAGGCCACAAATTCACAATAATTTTTAAGGTAGTCTCCATATAGTAGAATACATTTTCCCTGGGATAAATACAAAGTATAAGGAAGGTACACTCAATTTCCATTTTCATTCCTGGAAAAATATTTGGCAGACATAAAGTCTTCATTCACTAGCTCTTTAAAGAAAGCCAAGAAACAATTTTCAGTTTTTTAGACGAGTAAGGGAAAACTTAAGCCCTAGCTTAAGTCAGATGATATCTGACTGCTTGAAAATAAAGAGGCCTGTCAAACATAATCAAGATTTGAACAATGAACTTTTTAGTGTTAGTCTTAACTTTTTATTTTATTACTTAATGGGAGAACAGAATTCTTATAACAAAATAGGAAATTATCAATTGTAACACTAAATGCAGCTTTCTGATATATCTGTTAAAATGATCTAATTTATGACTCCAAAAAAATTCAATGCTAGTGTCACACAGAGCTCTCTATAGTGCTCATGGTTACTATGAACATAAATTGCCACTTTACTACTTTTTTTTAGTTAACTCCATACATTGAAAACTTATTTACAATTTACAAGCTTATGCAGAATGCATAATTTTTTAAAAAGATGATCATCAAGATCACCAAGGCTTTCTGTATTTAGTTTGTTCCAAGGAAAGTAAATATTCATCTTTTAAGAGAAATTAATTAGTTACTGGCAGCACTAATAATCAAGTCTCGGCAGCTGTGAAATTTCTATCATTCCACAAAATCTCTCAAACTTCCAAAAGGCTAGTAGAGCTGTACATTCTTAAAAATAGTTTAATTTACTATGGCACTGTCACTTGCAAACCAAGCACTTTTTTCACATTCCCAGTGGGACCGTTAGGCAATCTACCAAAGGAAATAGTAGATTAATTTAGGCATAACTAAAACCAAAAATTCTTAGTCAAGGGCATGAAAATAATCCAGATGTAGTGATTGATCTGTTATTAATCCAGAAATTTATTTGTGATTTAATATTGCAAGTGTGTATAGGAATCAGATTTCATGCTTAGCCTAGTACATGTCTGCACTTTCCTTTATTTCACTTTCAAATTTTTCACTCTCAAAATCTTTTATGGTGTTCCAGCAGCCATTTCTCAACAGTAATATATAGTGAATGATATACACAGATGTGTTGTCAACAAACAAGATTTGGTTTTTTTCAGTAAAGGAAGGGTTTTCACTTGCAAAAATTCTACTAATATGAGTAATTTCATTCACAGTCAGATTTCATTCATTAGTCAGATTCATCAAGACCAATGTTCTTCTGTAATTTAAAAATTAGAGATATGTCTTATAAATCTCAGAAAATTAATAGAATGCTCAAAATATCATCCCCTGTTAGCAATTAAAGCAATTGAGCATGTTTCTTAAAAAAAGCAACAACACATGTATGTGTGCATGCACATGCATAAAAATTGCTATCTATCAATTTCCAACAAATTCTCAGTAAATTTTTACTGCTTTTTGTGTTATTTCTGCTGACAGCACCATAAATTACAAAGATTACATTTCTAAATTATAATTATCTAAATCTAGACTTCCTCTATTATGCAGAAATAACAAGCTAGAATTCTACTTAATGAGCAAGCAGAAAATAGAGAACTAAAATCTGAAGGAACTCAAATATGAGAGATAGATGTTGATTTGTTCCTGCATATGTTCATCTACGAAGAAAATTCTATTTACAGATGCACCAGTTTTTAACTAGAACTAGGGATTTAATAGACTTCTTGAAATCTTTTCCAAAACATGAAAGAAAGCTGAATTCCCTGCATTATTCCAAATCTAAGATGTCAAATTCATAGGAAATTTTAAATTCACTATCTATGTTTAGTTATGTGTGTATGGCCAGTCTTCGCGAGCGAAGATTTGGGAAAGGTCTTTACCCTTTCGAGCCTGCACAATGGATTTTTTAGGTGAGACCCAGTGTGCACTGAACTGAGCCCACCCTTTAATCCTAAGGTTCATCTGCCAGGGCCAAGCAAGCTTGGACAGTGGCAGCGAGGTCCTCAGGACGTAGGTTTGTTTAGAGTGACCTTCTCTTAGATGGATTGCCTTACAGGGCTGACGAGCTCCATCTGCCCAGGGGAGTTTCCCTGACCGGGAATCGAATCTGGGCTGCAACGGTGAGAGTGCTGCATCCTAACCACTAGACCACCAGGGGTCCCATGTTTAGTTATATAGACACACATTTTGAGTTTTGTTGGATCTAAGAGGTCCTCAATTCATTGTTCAGAAAGCTAAACCCTGTAAACTGCAACACAAATATTTCTTATTCTTCTACTCACGAACTCAGATTGAAATGAACATTTCTTTCCTAACACCAATCTTACATAACCAGGCAATGTTCTTAAATTACTCCTTTGAAGGCTGATCTTCTTTATAAAAGCATATTGCTTTATGGCATCAGAACTCTACCAAGAGAGTCCTTATAAGCTAAATCAATCTCCTGACAAATCTACCAGTTCTCCTGAGCACTAGGACAAACATTTGTTGCACTTGGAAGGTCCTGTACTTCAAGATCTGCCAGCTTTGGTGGACTCCTTTGTTTACCTGTCGGAGCTCCCTCCAATGATTCCAATAGTTTCCCGAGTAAGCCAATATCCTGCTTTCCTTAAGTTCAGGGTCTGTACTCTGCTGCTCATTTTTCTGACTTCCTTCAAGACCACCAACACTGCTATTTCAAAATTACCACAGACAAGGAAATTATTCATCATCACAACCCTAACTAGTTTCCCTCATATTAGTCAACAGTAGATTCAGCTATGCATCACCACTGGTTGATCCTTTTAATATCTTCAGGAAGAATTTATTTTTGAAACCCTCCAGAAATCTCTTTGATTGCAGCAGCCATGTTGTCTTTCCAGCAGCTCTAGTCAGTCACTCGTGAGAACTGGGGTCTACAACTCAAGAGTTTTGGATTCCTTAAACACTCTATTTGCTTCCCCATCAGGTAGTCTGTAACAAACTCCTACCATAATGACATCATTATTAGCTTTTCCTCTGATCCTGGGTCACAAGTGTGATTAACCCCCATCCTGCTGGAGATCTCAAAAGATCTGTGCTGCTTATAGATCCCCTATAGATCCACCCCCTCAGCCCTTCCTTGCCAGTGTTTCTGGCAGTCCTTCATAATACTCCAGCTGCATGAACTTCGCACAGTATTTGAATTGTTCCAACTATGTTGCAGTCCTGTAACCCCATACAGCTCTAATTTTTCCTGCTTGTTTCCAGAATGTGTGCATTTCTTTAACAATGCTTGAGACAGGTGTCACTTCGCACTCTTTTATCATTCCTGAAGTCTTTCTTGCTCTTATCAACCTGTGCCCCAAGCTTTCCACATGACCACCAGTTCTTCATTTAACTATGGTCTGTAATCTCTCATTGCCTCCTTTCCTAGTTCAAAGCTCTCCTCATTAGCTGCCTGCAGCTCAAGGCCTGGGAACCTGCATCCTCCCTCAGCAGCTCTGAGCTGAGGTCTCCACCGTGCCAACAGCAGTTCTTCCAGCTGGTGCTGCAGACCATGCCCCAGGCTGTGCTGCTACAGCGGCTGCTGTGTCTCTTACTGCCATCAGCTCCCTCCCACATGCAAGCTGCTGGAGAAACCACCACTCCCCAAAGACATGGGTCATGTGCTGGGCTTGCCAACTGCGCCTGAACTGGCACTCAGCTCTCCCTAGGCAGGAGTTACCTCTCTTGGCCACAGCCTGGATCTCAGAGTGTCCCCACCATCTCTGAGAATGCTGCCACCCCTCCTTGCCAGTTACTCTTAGTTATAACACAGGAAATCAGAAGTCTAAATTCTCTTTCTTATTCCATGTGATAATGATGTACTGCCAACATACCTGTTTCAGGTTTTCCAGTTTGGTTTGCCTCAGTTCTTCATATTTCCATTTATAAAGAAATAATTCATTTTCCATCTTTTCCATTTCTTTTTCCAGAAATGCATTCATTCTGAAAAAGTATTTTAAAAGTCAGCATTGTACCATTTTTAAGCTGACAAAAGACAAATTACTTTGAATATCCTTTCCATAGCTTGTTATATTTTGCTACCTTTATCAATGATATATCTCGATTTTATTAAAAACTTATCATCACATAATTATTCCAAGAGATTTACCAAAATTAATAGCTACAGAGAAAAAAGAAATCCAGTAGTACAGAACTAAAATTTTAATAAAATAAAATTTTGGAATAAACTGAAGAAAATTTGAACTTTGACTTCAGTTAGTGATTCAGATCACCTAGTTTATATCAAGGTAGTGAAGATCCTCAGAGAAAGGGTATTACATCATTTTTTTTTGGTATAGACAGAAGATTAGTTTAAATATACATATACTGGGGAAAATATACAGTATGAAGACATAACACAAATCAAAGTTGATTGACTTTAGATGTTAAAAAATTTTTTAAAATATGTATATTTCATGTTTCAATAAATAATTGTTCTTGAAAGAAAATGTTAGAAGAATTTTGGGAAAATGGACTATTTTGCTCAGAAGTACTATGCCTGTAGAATGGAAAAAAATATTGAAACAGTTTAAACAAAAATTCCAATACTGGAATTAAAGAAACTGTTGTGCCAGATTGTAGTTATTTTCCATTCTGAGGCTAATGTAATTTGTCAGCCTTTTTACTAAAGATGCTATTGCCAGGCTAGACTAGAACTATATTCTGAGAATATTTGGTTTAAAATCCATCTGTTAAAGCAAAGTGTATTGATGGGATTTGTCTGGGGCATTTCTATGCAGCACACTGCAGGCTTGCACAAAGATAGCAAGAGTTACCACTGACTGGACTAGCTCAGGTCCTGGAAGCAATGTTAGCTACATTAATGAAGCAATCCACTGCAGTGAAAAATCTTCTTGTTCTTGAACCAGGGATCTCCTTTTTCTGCCTAGATTTAGCATATCATACATCTTCTCTTAGCAAACACCTAGAGCTCCCATAACATTATAATAATAAAATAAACACCATCACTCACAAAGCAAAGTGGAGCAAGATGTATGTCATGCAATTCAACTCAACATTTTTTCTTCTAAAGTAATGGAATATCTCATTGGAATGATATCATGACTTCATGGGGGAACTAAAAGAATAATTAAGTGGGACATTTAATACAGTAGAAAGGGAAAGCATGGAAGATGGCAGCTTAATACTTTGAATAATAGCCTATTGACTTTATTGAATGTAGTGAAAGTCCTTAGAAATGATCTAATCTGAAAAGTAAAAGAGGAATGTCCAGTATGATGAGCTTATTTAGAAGGCAATAGCTTTATTTTATGTTACAGTACCTCTTAAGTGAGATCAGGTCCCTCTGATACTACGAAATGAAACAACTGATCCTGACTACATAAAGTTTACTATTTAAATAAAGAAAACAAAGAGTGGAAGAAAGACTATAACAAAGGTCAGTGAAGCAGCTTACTACTAGGTAAAAAGATCAAGGTCATAGTATTTTAATGGCTCTTGTAACCAGCTATTTTAACTCCTTATTATCTAATTAAATCACATGATTACACAGAATGGTTGAGGTTGAAAGGGACTTGTGGAGGTCATCTGGTCCAAATCCCCTGCTCAAGAAGGGTTGCCTAGAGCTAGTTGCTCAGATCCACGTTCAGATGGCTTTTGAAGGTCTCCAAGGATGCAGACACAACAACCTCTCTGGGAAACCTGTGCTAGTGTTCAGTCACCCTCATGGAAAAAAAAAAAAAAAAAAAAGCACTTCTTGATATTCAGACAGAGCCTTCTGTATCCACTATCTAACTCTACCCATCCAGCTCTAAGAAATTCCTCTTTGATATTATTAACTATGAGTGTAGTTTGTGGGCTTTTGGTTTTAGAGGAAAGAAACATTTTTAAGTCCAAAATGGAACAAACTACAATCTTAAAACTAGAAGACATTTAGATGAGATCACTGATCCAAAAAATGACCAAAGATAACTATTTTAGGCAAATTATTATTTAATGTGTTGAACAACTCATAAGGTTTTTAATTTCCATTTATGTCAATAGGACCTCAAATGTGTATTTGATATGAGCTATTAGTGCCTAGTAGAGGATGATGGTGTGTGATTTTACATTGCAAATTCAACCCTGACATCTTTTGAAAGTCAAAATATAAACTTTCATCTCTTTCTTTTATTTATTATTTTTTTTTAGATCTTCTTTCTTTCTGTATTTTGCAAAGCCTGATCTGTGTGTGTAAGGGTACATCAGCACTACTGATGATAGCTCTAAACAAAATGCAATAGGCATAGGTCATCTCAGGGTGAAGACACAAAACATCTTATAGGAAAATTAGATAGGTAACAAGGGCAAGTCCAAACACTGGATCTGCTTAAGCTAACTTGGCTCTGGAAAAAATGCAGCCACAGTTCAGAGTACTGCATGTAAACCAGAAAACTGCTGAGAAGTCCTCTAGTCTATGAGTGAGATCATACTGACTACCAAAGTAACCTTTGGCCTTGGGGTTCAAGCTGTCTGTGATCTGCTTGCTTTGGATGAAGCACAGCTGTGTGTGTCCTTGGCTCAAGTTCACTGAGAAAATTGCTAAGTCGTGAGGAAGAAGCTGTGAGAAAGTACTGAAGCTAGAGCCATGCAAGATAAGGGAAGTAAAAATGCAGAGATTGTTGAGATAGACATTATTAACAGCTCCAGAATCCAGAAGCAAAATTGCTGTTATGAACAAGAACAAAACCTAAAAGGGAAAACTGGGAATCTGAAGATGGAAACTCAGCAAAATCAGTCAATTCCACTAAGCAGCAGAGACCAACCCTTTCTGAGCCAGCAGATGACAGCCAGCCCAATGAAGATTCACCAGCCATCTCAAGAGACCAGTGGCTATGATATCACTTTTCCCAATAATGTTATTCCTAGCTATTCATTGTGTGCTTTGTCAAATAAAATTGCTTCATACTGTGAAGTTGCATATATTTTGCTAATATAACATCTTTACATAGAGGAAATGCTGCCCAAACTGATCTACAGAGGGAGTTGTTATATCAATGCCTGCTCTTATGTGGAAATCACTGCTCTGTGAGCATTTGCTGCCTGAGGTTGGCACAGCCACATGTTTTGCATGTTCTAGATATGCCTCAATTCTTACCCTGTGCCAGTAAATTTGTTACTTTGTGCCAGTCAGTATACATCAAGGCATAAATGGCAAAATCTGTCTCTCTGAAATACAGTTACAAATCAGCTAGAGAAGGATGTGAACAAACAAACAAACCAAAACCAAAAACAGTAGGAAAAAGCATAGTTTATAAAAGTTTTGCCTAAAAAGTGACTAAAAACAAGAGTTGAAAAATTATCATGTTTCTAAAGAAAATTATTATACATACATACTCATGTATGTATCCTTGATTGCTATTGAAAGATAAAGTACCTAAGACCCTAAATATTTCAACCAGAGTAAAATTAAATTTGTGAAGCATTAGTCTCCTAACTCACACACATACATATTGCTTCCACAAAAAACCTAAGCACTTTTTAAGGAGAGAGAACATACTTCTGGTCATCTTCTGCGATATGATTCAAGTAAAGAATTATTGTATACTTTCTACAGCTATCTATTTCATATAACAAAACACATTAAATACTAGTTGGGAATTTAAAGCTTTTTTTTTTTTTTACTCAGGCTTGTGCTATCTACAGGACAATTGTGAAACAAATTGACAGTAAAGAAATTCTTCAAAACTGTTTACCATTACACCCTCTGAATGGACATGGTTGAACATATTTGCAATAGACAGGGTTGAGGATTTCTTCATTTTGATTTTCTTATTAACTTCAACTGACTTTGAAATAACAGTCACATAGTCACTATGCTGAATTCTTTCTCTAAATTTTTATCAGAGCCTTGTAAATAGCAATGATTAAAGCTTAGAAATGAGAGCATATGAGATATAAGTGCAAAAATCACCATATCTATATTAGAAAGTGTCTTAAACCCCTTTATTTTTAATAGAGATTTCCCCAAGTAGGATATATTTTGTACTTACTCTCTTTCCTTCTGTAAGATTTTCTTAATCTCAGCCAAATGCAAATGTAAGACTGAAACATGTATTAAGTCATTCTCAGTTGTCTTAGCTGCAGTGTCCAAACTTTTTTTAGCTTCCTCCAAATAGATACTGGGAAGTCCATCAGGGAAGAAATCAGGGGACTTTGGAGTGAATTTTTTATTGTGATTGCTCTGGACTTTATTTACCTCTACATCCTGAGGAAACAAAAATATGGTATCTGAGAAAAACATAAATGAAAGGGAAAGTCTGAGATAATTCCTGCAGAGCCTGCCAAGGCTCTTCTAGACAGTGAAGTCACATAGGAAGAAAAAGTTGAATCACTGTAATTTTATGACATGTCTCACACCTTCTGTTATGACTTCGTATCCAAAATATTTCTAATGTGTCTTTACTAAAGAAATAGATTTCATTTATCATTTGTTGGCTATAACTATGGTGAAGACGGAATCCTGGAACTAATAAAACCCAGAATGCAAGTTATGCATATAAACAATATATAAAGAAATTCTACTTTATGAACTCTTAAACTTTTAATGTAAATCGTGTTGAAGCAGGTGATAGGATCATACAAGTTTTTCATAAGGAGCAAAGTATATAAATATCTATTTTGGAGACAAATGTTTCGCATGAGAAAATGAGCAATACTAAAAACAACTAGGAAAAATAACTAAAAAATAAAATACATAATCAGTAGGAAGACTGAATGTCTCTTATAAACAAGTTTCCTTTATAAATGTTATTGTTTTACCACTTCTGATTAATAATGTTTAAAAGCTAATGTCATTTTAGCAGATTACCAACAGTTCGATTTCATACCACTCTGTTCTTTTGAGTTTTTAGAATAATGCCCAAAATTTACATCAGAAAATACTAGAAACCACTGTTTCCCACTCACATATAACATTTCAATTTTTAAGTAGAAATTATTTTATATTAAAGAGAAATAGTTAAAACATGTTTAGTGTTATTTCCTCCATGTGGCACATTTGTCTGCCCAAATATATAAAAGGCAAGCATTTTTTGGCAAAATTTATTCTCCATACTAACACTATATTTTTTTTCAGATTTCACAGGAATTTAATATAATTTATATACATTAGAGACTGAATGAAAATTCTGAACAGAACATATTCAGATCTAAAATCTCAACAATTTCCCTTGAAGTAAAAAATTTCCTATGTACTACAATGTAGGGAGAACCATTTTTCTGCAATGTATGAAAAAATTACCTATATCTACAATGACTACTATCTATCAGACAACAAATACAGTTTTGACATGATGCTGTCTATGAAGATTATACAATGCATGCCAAGGCACACAATTAAAGGTGGTGAAACATGCGTAAGTAGTTCCATTTTTGATGAATATAACTGGATCTTTTGTATAGAACTGGGACCTGATTAAACGATGCCTGATTGTTTAATTCTATGTCAGGATTTAGTTGCCCTCCTTATCAAACAAAAATTCTTGCAAATTTGCAGAAGACTTTGCCTCATCTATTCCCATATTTCTGAAGTTCAGAGAGAATTAAATGGTTTTATTTTAAAAGCTAAGAATCTAGTTTGCTTTTTTTTTGGAGGGGAAAACAAAAGGTGAGTACACAGAACATGATGAATTCAGATAACAGAGGTAATCTGTTACCTTAAAACATGAGAGTCAGAGCAATACTGTAAGTTATTGGATAGAATAGTCTGCCTCTGTTACTTAAATGTTTAGTCATAGTGCATGGGTATGAATTATTTTCTGTATTTCTCTATATTAGGAATATTTAGATGGGTGAAGAAAAATGGTTTTGCTAGTGAATGGATGAGGCAGCATTTTGGTCAAAATGCTTGAAAAATCCCATATTCTGTTGCTTTTTCAAAACTAAAAGTTTTGAACTAAAAAAAGATTCCCCATTCTTTACCTTCTTTGTGTCTTCTGCCCCGGGAATTTTGATGATTTTGCTCAGTTCTTTCACAGATTCTGGTTCCAGAAATGTTAACAGGTTTCGGTCTTTTTTACCATGATATATTTCTGAGCAACTGCATTCTGTTTTCCAGGCAGTTCCATCTTCTAAGTTTTCCTTCTCACTTATTAAATTTTGATTTATTTTTTTAAGCATACTTATTTCTTTTATAGCACTGTCTAATTTGATTCTCAGTTGTCTTGCTTCCTCTCGGGCTTTATTTCTTTCTCCTCTAACTTTGCTCCATTTCTCCCGCCAGTTAGCAGTACAATCTGACCACCAGCGCATGGTCTTCTCCATTTGGGCAGCTCTGGCTTTGACTTCTTCCAATTCCTGAATTTTTACTGCTTCAAAAATTTCCCAATCACTGCTGTAATTCATATGCGTATATGTATAATGAGATGAACATGGGTAGAAACTTTGAGATGGCAGATTTGAATTACATAGATGGTCATCTGGTTGGCAATCTCCACCTAATGTATAAGGTTGTCTTGGTTGCGTCCCAAAAATGTGTGTCTCTTCCATTTGTTTCTGAATGGAGCCCAAGTTCATGTTTTGATTCATCATCTAATTTCACTTCTAAAAAAGACAAAGACAGAGAATAATTTAGCTTTACTCAATTAGATTGTAGGAATAACCTCCAACAGAACGGGGTTTTTACTGCTATAATAATGGGTTAATTTTAATAATGCTGTTCATGTTTTAGAAATGTGCTTAATCAAAAACAAACAGCTATTAAAATATCTTTTATGTAACACTTTTCTAGTACAGCATAAACAGACATACCTATTACTTGGCTAGGAACTGCTAGCAAAGGAAGCGTCATTAAACAATCATAGTTCTGTCAAAAATTTTTGTAGTCCAAAGAAACCAGACAAAAGCTTTCGTCCTTCAAGACAAGATTAAATTGAATCAATATATATTTTACATATATAGTAAGAGGAGATTATTTGCCTAGAAGTACAATCACAATTCATTTCCTTTCTTCCCCAAACTGTGGAATTTCATACTAGGAAAACGTACCCTGTGATTTTCAAACCTAAGGAAAAAATGTGATCAACCGCCCCCAGCCTTTGCATTTGCTTTGTTTTATAAGAAAAATCAAGCTTTTTTACAGGGGGCTTTATTTTGTTGTCTACATTACAGAAGACGTACAGGCAGCATATTCTTACAATATTCTTGAAAGTGTAGTGCTATCCTACTGTACTGTACGGCCTTCCTCTTGATGATATGACTCTGCTAGTAAATCTTGTTGCTTTCCTATTCATTATTTATCTTTTCATTATTTATTACTCATTTGGCCAGAGGAAAAAAAAGTATCTCAGAAATTTCTTTCCTACTCCTGTGCTGAGAAAATACTGATGTGGACAGTGTGTAGAGACTAATCACTTACACCTCCTTGAGTTTTTTCCTCTTGTTTATCTTAAAAACAAAACAAACCAACAAAGCAAACAAAATACAAACAAATAAATAAACCTAAAAATCTTACTATTTCAATAGAAGACCAAGTTATTTAAAGTAGAAAAGAAATTGCTCTTATATTCCAATATCCATTTGTAAGAAAAATCATGTTTATCTGTTACTGCAATTAGTATTAACACCTGCATTTGAAATGTAGAAGGTCAATGCTGCAAACAAAATTCTGAAGAGCAGTTTTGGCATTGAGATTCAGCTAAATAGATGTTTTTGCAGGTTGTGTTCCAGTTTTCCAGCTGTTTTCAACTTTTCCATGATTTCCAGGACATTTATTTACCATTTGTTAGAAGCTTATGGAGAACTGTTGTAGTGAAGTATGGATATGAGAGAAGGAAAAGGAAAGTAAAACACTCCAAACTCCCTTCAGCACCAACCCCCAGAGCAACTCTACACAGATGTAACACAGCTGCTGCCAAAGCTTCATCAAGGTTAAGTCTTTTTTATGTTTCTTGACCTACTTCCAGCAACTTAATTTGAATATGTCTTATCCAAAATACAAAGATATTGCCACCCACAATTTCGTATGAGGCTCAGTAGAGCTAAAATAACTACATATTAAACTCTTGCAATAAGCTGTTAATTTAACTTTTGGGTCGTGAGAAAGCCTTTGTTTCCCAAAGCTTTAATGAAAAAAAAACCAAACAAAATTACAGTAAATTTTAGATATATAATAATATATATAAATATATTACATAATATAATAAATATATAATGAAATAGTTGAAACTTTTGAGGTTTTAAATTTTGTCTTATTTTTTTTCTGTACCAAACTATCTATATCTACAGAAATGTTTATTACACTCTTCATAATCAGTAGATTTTTTAATTGATCTTGTTAGCAGCTTTGCGTATTCACTAAAAGAAGGGAGACCTTGGGGAATGCCCAGTTTACAAATATTTGGAGAGATAAGAATGGAAATATTTTTCTGTGGCTGAAACTCTGAAAGACCTGAGAAATCTTCATGAATCAGAATATCTTCGTGCCGTGGTTTCATTATGGGTGTGCAGAAACTTAACTGTAACCTACTGAAAAAAAGAGTCACAGGTCATGAATTCTTGCTCTTCTCCGCTGTGATGGCTCAAGTGCTATCAAGACTGGGACACTGCCAGTCAGATCAAACTTACAGGTGTAATATTTGAAGTAGGCTTGTACAAGCTAGTAGCCACTTAGCCTTCTAATAGTTTGAACTTTGACTGAACTTTTTGTCATGGATAGATGATTCCAACTCCATACCTAAAATTACAAAAAAAATAAAGAATTAAAATAAGTTGTTCCCCCTCCAGAAAACAGAAGTACTGGCTCAGTCCAAGGTGATAAGGAAAATGAGATGTTTCTAGGAGTCTTAACTTCCCTATGTGCTTTTCAGAAAATCTAATCCAAACTATTTTGTAGCAATCCTCTTTAAGATTACTAGAGGTAGAATGATACAATTTTTTCATTACAAGACACAGATCTCAACATAACCCATTTAAGTGGCTGGCTGAGTCAAGATTAAAACATAAAATAATAGAAATATTGTTGGTAACAGGAATTTTCTTACAACTATGAAATATTGAGATTTGTGCTCATATCTGTTTTTAAAGAAGTAGTCTAAAATATATTTCTTGAAAGAAAGAAAAGATTTAGAAATTAGAAAAATGTGTTAATCTTTGCAAAAGTTCTGAAATGGTCAAAAATCTCACTGTTCCAATGGGATGATTAGAATATATTTTTATTTTATTTTATTTGCACTTCATATCTATTTGCTCTTTCATGTTCTTAAAAAATATTGTACTATTCAATAATATGTAAAAGTAGTCCAGCTAACTGAAAACTCTTGTAATACTGAATCAGTTGATACTGAATCTTTAATCATCCCTGTAGTTATCATGATATTTTTAAAAAAACTCCCTCTCTTCTCTGGTATATGGTCAGCTTATAGAAAAGTATTTAATTGTAAAATTTCATATATCTATGTTGAACTCAGAAAGGTTTCATCTATAAAATATCCAATATGTTCCAGGGGAGAACAAGAATAATTTCTAACTTGTATATTAAAGATAATTAAAAGACGAAAGTTATACGTTAATGTTATTAGACAAAGATGTCTAAACATCAGAAATTCCATAAGTCTGAAAACTGACAAAAAGAAACCTGTGTGCAGCTAGTTTTAAAGTTGTTAGCTTGAGTTTGCAGCACCAGACTAGCTAGCACAACATATGGAGCTCAGTGAGCTTAATTATTTAATAAAAGATAATTGGATGGAAAGACAAGATAAAGTTAAAGAATTGGATGAAAGTGGGAGTTTTCAGTGAAACTTTCTGAGTTCCATTTTTAACAATTGAAGGATAAGAAGGAACACAAATTCCCTTTTAAAGTAGTTTTTCTTAACTGAATAATTTAAAATAAGTATGAACAAAATATGTGAAGCAACATTCCTTGTACCATGTGAGTGGGGTGGGGACAGTGTGTGAGAGCGCTGATAGTTCTCACAGAAAAAGAAAAGACAAACATTTGTTGAACAAGATAAGGAACATAATTCTAAACCACATTTCACTGTATTGAAACCTCTCCTTATTTATTTAATGATTCTGAACACCAATAAGAAAAAGAAGAGCTCTTGATTTATTATTGCCAGCTATTTTTATAGGCAAACAAAAGCATATTAACCCTTGGTAGCACAGTTAACAAAATCACCATGAGACAAAATATTAGTGCACTTTCCCCATGTTAATACCTGCTCACTGAATTCAGCTTTTTCAGTTAGTTCAGTAGCTAGGGCAGCAGCTTGAGGATAATTTTTCAACATCCTTTTACTAATTGCATGACCTAACCCTTAGTTACATGTCTCTTAATTATTAAGACCTCAGCCAAACTTTTTTTAAAGGCATTCTGTCTTTAAAGAAAATATCTGCTTCAGAGTGAGCCAGTTAGTTTTCTTTTGTCTAATCTATAAATTTAATAGGACAAAATGAAATGTAGACACTGTTTGTGTTCTTTTTTAAGTGCTACTAGAAAGTCGGAACTTTCCACAGTATTGCTGCAGTTCACCATTCAATCAAAAAGGATTAGAGAAAATGGCCAGGGATGACAGGGTCATTATAGAAAAACAAAGGGAGTGAGAGTCAGTCAAAAAGCTTGGCTCTTTACTAAGGGCTGCTAACTACCAAGCTATGGATTCAAGAAATGGAGATCAAATTATGCATGGCTGTTCCTGTTGTAAAGCTGGTTTTAATTAGTAACCCTTAAGGGTTACAACCAGTGGCTAGAGAATGAAATGAAAAAATATTGTTAAGTGACTGAAATTTATGGTAGAAAAAAACCATCACACTGGAAAGCAATTTATGATATAGCTCAATCTAAGAACATATCCATAAAAATGTATCTAGTTACCAAATCCCTAAAAATCCTGGCAACACATAATCAAGTGGCTTATCATTTGTGCAGAAAAATTTTACACAAAACTTTGAGGCAGAATGACTACCTGTTTACAGGAATGGCTTAGACACACTGGGATTTAGGATTCATTTTAACAGGCTATCAAGGTCATTTTAATAGGAAAGAATACCCAGTAGCAAAAGTTCTGGCAAAACAAATTGTATTTCATGCCATTTTTTGTCAAACAATGGTACATTACAAGCATTCTACCAACTTCAGGGAAGGTAATTTAATCTGGGAAACTTCTCGTGTATTATATCGATCCTTTAGAACAAACACCAGGATGGTGGAAACACATCCTTAAAGGAGCAGAAATAGTGGTGTAGGGAATGTGTTCCCTGCCTAAGCTACCACTGGTCTCACAATTGTTACTGCTTTAAGCCAGTGGTTTGCTACGTTTCCCTTATCCAGAGAAACACAATCTTATAATGAATAACATTTAAAGAATAAAGCAGGACAAGCTTGGTGTGTTTCAAATGTTGTACAATGGATTTTCTGCCTACTGTATCAACCTCAAAATAACATGACAGCAGACAGATGGAATGAACTACTAAACCAGCAGCTACACAAGAATGAATCTGTTAATACTGTATGTGGAGATCCTATCTGTGAAAACGTCTAAGATGGCTACACAAGTGACAAACCCCCACAAGCGACAAACCCCCACAAGCAGAACCATAGATAAGGGATTCATATCAGTAGCTGCTCAAATTCTTGTTCAAACAGATGTAAAACTCTCTTGAAATCTGTAAAATGATATTGCAGTTAAACATCCACCTCAAAGGTTATCTGTGTGCCTCTCCTTTTACAATGAAAAAGGGAACAAGTTAACTACAACTGAGGTTTGGATTATGTCCAAGATCTCACTGTCCTTACCACATCACCATGACAACACTGTTAATTGGAACATACACCCAAAAATTGTCTCTAACAGATCCTGCCTTTTAACATTGCCCATGGCACAACTCAGGTACTGCAGATCAGTCATAACTCAACTTCGAAACCAGTTACAGAAGGAATATCATCTGCAACACCAAAAGGACAAATATTGACAGTAGCTAATAATATTACATTAATCCTAAATTCTAAAGTTGACCTGAATTTAACTATATGTAGTAACACTGGATATGAAGCTGTACGTGGCTGTGACAACAACAGAGTGAAATGGGCACTACTGGCATGTAAGGCAAGTAATCATTCACTGGTGGACCACAAAAATTATGGCAACTGTTCACAATGAGAAAACAATACATGTCAATTTTTTCATAAACATTCTGAAAAACTTCTGTGCAAGTCAATGTAAATGGACAAAATTAAGCTACCATCTGTTCCTGATTACGCAATTGTAGTGGTTTGAACCAGGTTTTCTCCCAGAGGCTAAGAAAATGGTAAAACCCCAGGGGGTGGTAACCCCTGGAAGTTTTGAAGTTTTCTGCGTTCCTGCGAAATGTAAACATACCACAAGCAAACGGAAGAGCAGGTTAGTTGTAGTTTGGGGTGGTAGAAGTGGTAGCCATGTTCTGACACCACGAGGAAAGGGGCTCTGAGCCTCTTGGGGCTTTGGCCCCCGGCTCCCAGCTGGGGGGACTGCAGAGACTTGGAACAGTGTTAGACTGAGCTGAGTGTCTGTAGTTAAGCTGCGAGATGTTTTCTCCACCGTGGGCAGTGGAGACAGAGCAGAAGCAGAGATGCAGCGTCCAGAGGCTATGGCTGAAAGCCAACTGATAAGAACTGAACCGGAGAAACAGCAGAAACAGCATGCAACTGAGAAAGGAAGACACCGAGTTGTCTCAGAGAGCCGAGAGAGAGCCAGCAGAGAGAGAGAGAGAATTGAGTTCTACAGAGTTTTGGGGGTAAGAACTGAACCAGACCCCCCAAACTCCTTTGAGACCTCCGGGAAAGGAGGGACATGGACTCCTATTTTGGAGAGGAGTTTTGGACATGCAGCACCGGAGAGAGAGAGAGGAGCTAAGAAGCTCGGTTGTCCTGAGAGCTTAGCCATGACAGTGGGTGGGAGGTTGACCTTGGAACCCTTCCTTGCTGCAAGCTACAAAGAAGCTCGCAGCCATCTTGAGGCAGGGCACAGAAGCTCTGCAAAGAGGAATTTGAATTCCCTGAAGATACCAGACTGTCACGAAGATGCCCCTGCATTTCGTGATATCACCGTGGTGGAACGACGTTTGTCTGGGGGGAACGTAGCCCACAGAAGACCCTTTTGCTTGCATCAAGGGGCCGAGAGGGGCTTGGATTTCCCCCTCGTGAGTGCTGGCAGAAGTCCAGCTATCAGCTGCTGCATTTGAAGAAGACAGATTGCTGCTGTAGAAGATACTCCTTCTCAGAGACTAGAAGGGATCTGTCCTTCTTCCCTCCTGGTCTTTTATTTGGAGGGGAGAAGAGATCTGATCCATTGTAAATACTTATGTCATGGTAGAGATAGTTGTGATCGTGTGTATAATGTATTATAATATTTATTTGTACAGTCATTGTAATATATTCCCTTTTCCCCATTTTGAGTCTGGTGTGTTTTGTCTGGAAAAAATCATCCCACATTAGGTTGAGATGGGGGAGGGGGCTTAGACTAGGGAATTAGATTTTTGGGGATCTCAAACCATGACAGCAATCTTAAAAAACAATCCAGACAACTTATTAATAAAAGTTCCTTTCACTTAATGCAATTGCATGAGGGACAAGAGCCTATGATTATGGTTCCAAAATTAATGACAATGATCGTACATTGAACATTACCAATTTATACACTCCTGCATGGCAGAAAACTAGTACTGACAACAGTGACCATCTCTGTGGTGGTGGCTACAAAGTCATTGACCAATAGGGCATAGAAGTAAAAGAGATATTATTCAAACTCTGTTGGTTGTAATTGGTATATGAATTGAATTAATTTATTACTGAAACGCTAGCAAAAAAAGTTGTCAGTATTAAGAGAAACTGAAGTTAGGATAACTAGAATGACTTGGAAAATGCTTAAAGGAAGGAAAAGTAAAAATATGGTAATAGTATGGTAATAATGATCACACCGTTCATGCTAAAGTCTGACATATGCTGAGAGCAGTGTCACTAGGTCAGTGTGAGAGCAGCATGTACATAGAACACAGTGGGCTATCACCTGCAGCCATCATCTCCTGCATCTTCCAAAAGTAACTACTTGACAGTCTCTTTAGAATCTGCTAACTCATGAAAACGCTATAGACTAAACTTCTGACCTGGAAAGTGTAAATGCCTAAGCTTATTCCTAAAGTTTTTGAAGCAGATCCAACAGCAGGCAGACTTTTGAGACTTTTGTGCTTGTCAGTGTGATATGAGGGGTGCTCACACCATGAAGGAGAAGACAAAATGAGCGATCTCACCAACAGTTTGGTAACCAATTTGAGAAAATATGATTTAGAGAACTCATAAATTAGAGAGTTCGTGAATTAGTGAAATAATAAATTAGTGAGTTCATGTGTTGTACCAGTCTGTACAAAGATGATTCCACCACTGTTTGATTTCTTCGCATGTTTTGGTGGGTTTTTCTGAGGCAGAGTATTTAATTTTTTTAATGTTTTTTTTCTGATGAGGTCATAAGCTCATAAAATAAATTTTAATTCACAAAGTACACAGTGCCATAAATTTGGGAGATCCAAAGAGACCATGCAGATTATCATATGCAGATTATCACAATTCCATATGAAAATGAAAAGATAGTGATTTCAAGACTTTTCAATGCACAGCCAAAGATAATTCTGTTTATTTTTTCCACAGTTATAAATCATAACAATATTAAACCATATGTTATATTTTTAAGCTGTTTATATTGTTTCCAAACATTGTATTCCTTACATGTGTCATAACTAAAAATAAGTCAAAAATGGCCTGAAGAGACAAATAATGCAAATTATTTTCTTCCTGTTGGAAGTTATGTGATAATTTTTTCCTCCTATTTATATTTCTCTAGCTTCCTTTTAATATCAAAATATCAATACAAATCTAATTTATTTCCAAATCCTGCTTTATTTACTTCTCACGTCCAGTAACTAAAAACACTTATGTTATGAAAATAATAAAAAAATAAAGTTATGTTTCTAACTTCCCAAAGATAAATATTTATGGGTTTCTGAGGTTTTGTTTCAGTAAGGGTTTTTTGGGTTTTTTTATCCAAACATGAAATCTTAGAAGCGTCTGAAAGAAAATGGTTTTCTTACCACATCAATTTGGACAGTATGGATTGTTAAGTGAATCTATGAGATCAAATGAAATCACAATTCATTAATACCCTGATACACACAATTAAAATTATGCAACCATGTCTTCCTTCTGTAATGTATCCTCAGCCTGAATTTTTGAAGTGTAAGAGACAATGTGAGGCCTAAATCCTAATTTCCAAGTTCTTTAGTTTTCAAAGTTCCTAAAGGACAGGAATGTTTTAATCAAAAAAATGATAGCACTGAAAGAGAAAAAACCCAAAATATTTAGACCGGTTGTGAGGAAGCAGTAAAGAGAGGAGGCAGAGTAGTCTTCTACACTTCCTATAGGATCAAATATATAATCTTGGGAAAATTGAGTGGCACTATTTTCCTCATTATTTCATTATGCTATAAACACCTTTGCCTTTAAAACAAATAAATAAACTAAATCTCAGGAGATGTTAAAAACTCCAGAGGCAGTAAAAAGAGTAGGATCAAATATCAGTAAGCACTTGATAGTAGAATCTATGCAAAAATGGAGTAAATGGAGTCAGACTTCATGTTTGAATTGATCAACACTAAATGATGAGAGAGAATAATGTGACTGAGAGAGAGAAGGCAAAAAATGAGACCCACATTTCAACTTGTCTTTCTATTGAAAAATCCATAAATAAGGTTTGTTAACTACTCTATCGGATCCAAAAAGTTCAATACCAGAAAGTAACTTCAGGAGAGTGGCATTTCTGCAGGGAAAATTGCATTTTACTATCATATAAAACTTTGTGACAGATAAGGTGTTTCTGAAGTACCCCCAGAAAGTACATTATTATATTAGCTGTCCATGTATAGCTAAATTCCCGGGAGAAGAGGCAAAGGATGAGTATAGTAAAGATAGTACTGAAAGACAATAAACCACAGAGAGAGTAATAAGTGAAAGGGGGACTCAGAAATGGCTTAATCTTTTTTTTTTCTGGTTTAGTCAGACTATCCAGAAACCAAAGGAAAAGAAAGCAATTACCATAATGTTGGAATAAGCATTTTACACTACACAACACTACTAAGTATACTGCTACCTGATATTCCAGTATGCATTGTAATAAACAAAAATTCTCTAACTCCAGAGGAAGAATTCTTTCTATTACTGACATAGTTTGCTTCTCCTGAAGGTTTTAATAATTCACATGAAGACATGTAGGTTAAAAGTACATATCTATAATTTATAATTTTACAAAAAGAAATATGAAGTAGCCTTTTTTCAAGTAGGAAAAAAAGTGACTCTGAGGGTGGCCATGACAGTCCCATTGCCAGTTTATTCTCATTTGCTATCCATTCCCATAACTTACTCCTTTGAAATAAGATTTACGGTTCCAAACGTAAGTAGTCCTGCTCATTTAAGAGAAAATAAAATCTCTAGCGTTACAGAAGTTCTTTTGAATCAAAGGCATGCTATGTAGAAGTCTTGAGTAAGATGCTCTGAGCAAGGTGGATGGATCAGATGATCTCAGAGGTCCCCTCTAACCTCAGCCATTCCATGACTCTCTGAGCAGTGTGATTTCTGAGGAGCTCTGCCGGTTACTTCCAGTTGTTGCCATAACAATCAGGAATTGAGAGGAAATGAAGATAATAAATTGTGAATCTCAGAATATATAACTTTTAGCCAAATGGTTCACAAAACACCATGTAAGTAGAAAAGGCCATAAGAAATAAACCAGTTTTGAGACAATACTGAACTGCCTAGAAGCAGCAATTGTGCACTGTTGTCAAGAACCAGCTGTAAGGCACACGGAAAAAGAAGAAAGAAGGCTTTATCTCCATAAATCTGTTCTGCCAACAGACACTGAGAACATGAGAGCACCGTGTGTGAAAGAAAAGGGTGAACAAGATAATCAAGTATTTTCAGATACTTCCCAGGCTGAAGGTCAGTTCTATGCACAGGTGGAAACAATCCAGAAAAAAATATGCCTGTAACAGCAACAATTAGTGACTTGCAGGAAGCGTTTACTTCTCCATGAAAAATTTTGTATTTGGACTGATGCCTTTATTGAAATGAATACCCTTACTGTAATTCATCTAACCATGAGATATTATATATTTCTTTCAATGTGTGAGTTTCTTCTGTAAAATATAGTGGCAACTTTCTATGCTAATAGAACTTGACCACAGAAGAGGTAAAACTAGCATGGTTAAAAGCTTTTAAGACTGACCATTTTTTTTCTTTCCACTGAACAAAAACACCCCTAGGTAAAGAGAATTTGTTCTACTGAGTTACATTAAGACATAAGGTGCCAATAATTAAAAGCAGTAAATTAGGACAAGAATTCTTCCACAGCAAATCTTACATTATTGTTGCCAATGGTGGGTGGTCTTAAAGGTTCTTGCTCAAAATGAAGTGCTGTAATTCTCTTTGAAAAGAGATGCACCAGAAAAGAACTTGGTCCACTTGTCTGTGGTCCTATGTACTGTTTTTCCTTTTTCATTTTGACCATTTTCTCCCCATATCCCAGTATTCACTTTAAGGTAAAATCCTCTTCACTGTTCCAATTAGTTTTAAAACACAGGAAACAGACACAAGTATTGAGGCCATGTTACTGAGAACGCAGCTGCGATGGGCAGGGCACGTCTCCAGGATGAAGGACCACCGCCTCCCTAAGATCCTGCTCTATGGTGAACTTGCCACTGGCTGCCGCATGAGAGGAGCCCCGAAGAGAAGATACAAGGACTCCCTGAAACAACATCTCAGCCTTGGCCATATTGATCAACATCATAACTGGTCTACTCTGGCCTCAAATTGGGAGGCCTGGAGACACACCATCTATAACGCTGTGGATGCTTTAGAGAAAGCACGCAGGATCACCCTTGAGGAGAAAAGATAATGCAGAAAGAATCGTGTCCTGCAGAATATACCATCTAAGGAGTCTTTCTGCTGTGCCTTTTGCAACCGGACATGCCTGTCTCGTATTGGCCTTTTTAGTCACCAACGCACTTGTGACAAACGTGGGTAGAGCCCTTCCCAAGTCTTCGTTCGCGAAGCCCAGCCATGAATATCTTACATAATATTATACAGACTATATACACTGTGTACATACTATATATACATACTGTAGACATACACATTCATAAAAAAGACAACTTGGAAGGTAGTCAGATTCCAGTAAATGTAAACAGATGTTACTCTTTCTTTCCTTTTTTTGTCTGCCGCTTTCAATAAACTCTAACCAGTTCAGATACTATTTCTTCAGGATGAGAACCAGTATTATATACTTATTCTGATTTAGGTCTATTCGTTACTACAAACTATTACGTATCCTTGCAATATCTTTCAAGTCTTTTGCAGAGACAAGCTGATATTTCTTCACATCTTTGAAGTTGTATTCAAATCCTTAGGGTTAAATATGAGTAATATAAATATTTATACATAGAGATGTTGTCATTTACTACCCACAAAGCCAAAAGAAGTTCTAAAGTACTGATTTAAACATAATTTATAGTAACTTCATTTCCTCAAGAATTTTTCATTTGATTACAAACTTTCATAATATATCAACTATAATTTTTATACATTTGAGTCTGTAGAATTGATACTCATTCCTCAGTCACTACATATGAAAAAATATACTGTAGAATCAGATTACACAGGGAGGGACAGGAGTGTGTATGAAATGAACAATTTTCCCAGACAGTCTCAAACAGAATTAAGTACTAAGCAAAAGCTAAACCAAGCGTAATCTGATTTAATTATGTAGCTATGGCTTTTGAGACACAACAGTTTTCTTGGCTAGCTCCCCTTTGAGATTGTTTATCACCTTTTATTAGGATATGATCAATTAAAAAAAGAGGTAAAATAAATTTCCTAGGTAATTAGGATAAGTATGAACTGTCAAATTTTTAGATCTTTTCAGGGTAACCAACTTACAAACAGGTCTACAAAACCTGGTGTAAACTTCTGAACTAAACAAGTAGCCAAGTCCCCTAAATTCCAATCTAGTCTCATTGATTCTATGTGGAGATTGGTATTCGTATGGAATATATTGCCTGAATGATGTGTGACTATAAGGAATGACAAGCTATGAATAATCTGAATAATAACTTCAACTGATAACGAATTCAGAGTGTATTTAATATAAGACTATGGTTAATTCATACAAATTAATTCATATCAGTTAAACATCTGGTCTAATAGGAATCTCCTGAATAGCATAGAGAGATTTCTTTAGAACAATAGTATTTGTACTCAAACTTGAAACAGATATTGCTTCAGAAGAATAGTGTTCATATTAGTTAATACTGTTTCACTATACCGAAACACACCTTTTAAATGCTTATGGCTAAAGATGCAAGTGAACTCTGTGTGATTTATGAAAACACCTATAGGTATCCTATTTTTCAGGCACAATGAGAGTTGCTCTTAATCACATTAAAATGGTATCTGTTTTTTTGTTTGGTTTGGTTTGGGTTTGCAGAAGTTCCACAGCTAAGGCAAAGAATAACCAAGTGCATGAGTCTTACTCCTCTGTTTCCACAGAAAGCAGAGTAAGTTAGTTTCAGTGAGTGTTAACGTGACAATTTTTTACCCATATTGAAATGAACTGCAGTGCTAAAGGGGTCATAGACCCTTTACAGGGAACAAGGAAGCTAAGAAAGGTAACTGTTTGCACCACTCAGCTCAGTTACAACAAACCAGTTGTCAGTCAAAAACAGAGAATCTGAAAAGTCTCCACACAATCCAAGTTGTCAGTATGTTATTACAGAATATGCAACTCAGTCAGCACACACATGCACTATCTTGCTTAAACTGACAGACAGTCCTTCAACATGACATAGAAGAGCATCTTTCATAGATTTGCTCTGAGCTTTTCAGAAAGAGGGAAGACTCCAGAAATGCAGGGAAATAATATTCAAGACATACATCCTCCACAAGGTTAGACCTGCCTTTGAGCATGTGATTCATAATTGGTTTTATAAGACTTTAAAATTTGCAAGCATTAAAGCCAGTTGTAAGTTAAAAGTGAAAGCAAGACAAGAAATCTAAAAACATCTCATTCAGCTGGTCATTTTCATCCAGGGTGTTTGTTAAAAAATTTAAGATACATTAGACATCAATATTTGCAAGTAAGCTATAAATAAGCTTACAACACACTATTTAGACCAAAGACAATTTTATCATGTTGCATTCTCAATGATTAAATTCCTTTTCCAATTATTGATAATATTAGCATTCTACTATTTACTGTTTTATTTATTTATGTTTAAAAGTCAAATTAATCTCTTTGTGAGAACAACTGTAAGTTCTTATTGGGTATAGTTGAGGAGGCTCAGCTACCTCCAAATGGCGCTGAGGACTTCACAGATCTGTGGGGGTTTTTTCTCACATTTTTCAGATTGGGCTACAGATCAGGTCAGCTGTTCTTTCATTCTCAAAATGAAGTTGAAAAAGGCAACTGAAGACAAACGTTATCCAGTCTGAAGAGCACTTTACTGAATAGGTAAATGTTCAGATGCAATATTAAAACCTGTCAATCCAAACAGTAGAGGTCACTTAAATGCAGAGAAGCTTCATAATTTAGACAAAAATGATGACAATTTTATTTTCTAGAGTTTATATCACATTTCTAACAACTTTTTCTATGTTACTCAGTTGGAAAGATTGTTTGAATTGGATAGCTTCACTTTCATTTACAGGTGCTTTTTTGCTTACTAACAAAACAACACTAAGGTGGATGGTTTTTTTTTTCCAATGTGTGAAGATGTAATAGCACATCTCTGAAAAAGTTAAGTTTCTAGTCCTTGCTTATACACTGAGAAATTCTTCAGGTTTTTAAAACTCTTGACAGTATCTTAAAACCATATGCTTTATGATATGAGAGATCAGGAATCGTCTTGTTAGAGTTGAAATCATTTATGATGCATTCTTATTCAAAACATGACCTACTTTCAAAAAGAAATTTCATAACACTGGGAGCTGGGAAAACTAATCACAGATATCTGAAACTTTGTCTCAGACGGCAACATAAAACATTCCAATACTTATTAGGACACAAAACATTTTTTCTTCAAAACACTGCTCAATCTGGAAACAAGTGATTTTCCCACCCAGATAAGCAGACAAGTAAGAATGCTGATGAATATCGTGCTTTCTCTGGGTCAGAGCATATCCCTTTGACTTGTTCAACTACTCTGATATAGTTGCATCAGAATTAACAATTCTGTTCTGCAGAGATGTTCTCAGTTTTATCAGAACAGTTTTAGAAGCAATCTCTTCTATAATTATGTCTCTGAAGAATATTCTTTACAAATAGATTGTTACTTGGACATTTAAATGTAATTATTCTTGATTTTTCTTAAATATTTTAGCATTTTAACACCATCTTATGTCTTTCAACAGCTCAAGGACTCCTTTAATACTGCAAGATACCATCCTGTGTTGACTCCAAATTCAGTAAGCCTTCTCTGAGGGAAAAAAACTTAAAAAATAATTCATATTGTCACTTTAACCATGATTCCAGAGTTGTTAGACTAGTCACATAAAATAAATCACAAAGTACCTTCTGTTGCATCCTAGAGGTCACTTAAATGCATAGAGAAGAATCTCTATTTTTTCTCTCAGTGACCACTCACTGTAGGGCAACAAGTACTCCCAATAAAAGTGAAGAAATTAATTGTATAAGTGGTGGTTATTCAGCCTGACTCTTTCAGCATATATTCTTTTGAATACTGTCCTTTAGACAGAAGGGAAGCTGGCATCCTTTTGCCAACATGGATACCTACAAAAGTTATGGAGAAAACTTCAAGTCAACTGAAAATACATTTTAAAAAAATAATCAAAACAATAGGAACTTTCATGGCATTTCCTCTCTGGTATTCCTCCAGTAATGTGATTGACATTAAATAAGACTGGATTTGGCATAAACAGAGTCTCATTTAACCCGATGTAAATCAGACCAAGATTACTCAAATCAGCATGAGCAGAGAATCAAGCTGTTCAGGGAGGATCATTTTCACAATAAACCAGTCTATTAAAGATTATTGGTTGGATTAATAAGGGAATAGGAGCAAAAGCAGCCTTTGCTTAGAGACCTGCTTTTTCAAAGGAAAGGTGAATATGGTTTCTAGCAGCTTTAACAGGAAATTAATACCAAGATAATGTAGTTACTATATATTGATACACCTGTATGTTATCCCAGTTAAATAAACAGTAAACCCCTGTTGTACAGTTCTATTAATACCACATTAAAATACCCAGGAGGAAGAAAACGGGGTTTCTAACTATGTGGAAAAAAAGCCAAATAAAGGTCTCTACAAATGAAATGGACTATTAATAACAGTAAAACTGTAATTTAGAAGCTAATTTGCCTAACTTTTTAGTCACATAGAAAACTTACCAGACATCATTGTAACTGCAACAAATATCTCTATGTTTGGGGATGCAGGAAAATCTTTGACATTAAAGTAGCCCTTACAAAATTGTGAGATTAATGTTCAGTTTTCAATTAGCACTGTAACTCACTGATTTAAGGGGAGTGGAAGATTCAAAGCTGAGAAAGAAGTGAAGAGTAAGAGCAAGGAAGCTAGTGAATAGAAAATCATTAAAGAGGATGGACACCAAGAGTTTACAGGAATATAAGAAGAAAGTGGTATTTAAATAAAAATAATACATACTTCATTGTAAGAACATTTTATGGGTGACAAAAATCTATATTTGCACTAGAAGTTTTTCCTGATACCATGTTGCCTTAAATGTCCATATGTTCTTGTTAACTTTATATATAGGAAAAGGTTAAAATAAAACTTGTTTAATAAAAGTGGAAATAGATATGCTTTTTTATTCTGAAAAAATATTTGGAAAAGAAAAATGTATCTTTCTTTTTGTTAAATTTAGCAGATTCTAATGGAATAAAGGCTATCAATATAGAATTGTTATTGTGGGTAACGCTTGTCTCTTCAACTCACAGAAGAGTCAGCTCGTAGAATATATAAGAAAAAATTCTTTATTTGAGGGTGATGAGGAACTGGAACAGGTTGCTTTGAGAAGCTGTGGATGCCCCATCCCTGGAAATGTTCAAGGCCAGGTTGGATGGGGCCCTGAGCAGCCCCATCTACTGGGAATTGTCTCTGCCTGTATCACGGGGTTTGGAACTCGATGATCTTTAAGGTCCCTTCCAACCCAAACCATTCTGTGAATCTATGATTCCATGAATATCAGATTGATACACTTTAAACAATATCAAGATCTACCCCTCTTGGTGTTGAAGTCAATGACAGTGTTTTAAGTCTGTTCATTACCAGCTGCTTTAGAGTATTCATTTTCAAGTGATTTATTTTTCAAATCTACCCAAGATTGATATTAGTACTTTATATTTAAGGTGAAAGAGTGGCCTCAATTCAAAATTTCTACATACAAATACATTAAAAAAGACAGACAACTAATTTCACATTTTTCACTAGTTTTTTGTAGATGTCTCTGGAGGCAATACAACTAGTTCTATAAGTGATGCCTAACATATTTTGGAAATCCATCTATCTTCATTTTATTACTCAAAGAGCTGCATTCAGAAACTCAAAAGTAATTTTTCTAGCATAGGTAGTCTAAAACAAAGCTAGGATTCTAGCCATAGGACTATTTATAACAGAGTCTGCTTCATAAAAGGGTTTTAAGAATCAGTGAGAACTATGATAAACAAAATGCAACTATCTACATAGTCCATAGGAAGCCTATTCGTACTATTTGTTATATATTCTTACTGAATTCATCAACATTAATTTTGGAATTTGACCCTTGTTCTCATTGGTGATGGATCATCCACACTCTCATACCATCTCCGTTACTTAACTTTGAAAAAAATGACGAACTAAATATCTCTGTCCAACATCAACAAATCAGAGCATGAATAAACATGTTTCATTGCATTAGAATAATATCATATAGCTAAGAACGCACTTCTTTCTTATCCCATCTTCAGATATTTTCTGAAGATAGTCAGGATTATACAACTCATTATTGAGTTTTATAACTTATGAAAATAGAAACACTGCGTAAACACTGCCTTCTAAATAAAAATTGCAGTATGAACTTCTGCAGACTCCTAACAGTATTCTCACTACACTTATATCCATAATACTGATACTTACTAAAAGGTAACAAAGATTTACCAATTTATGTTATTGCAGATGCATTTCACAAAGTAATTTTAAAAAGGGGTTTAGTATTAAAAGAGTATAATCCTTGAAATTTCTGCATTTATACTAATTTATAAATGAAAAATAAGAAATAACTTTGAAAAATTTGAAAATTAACCTGATTAAGTAAGGATTTGAAGAACAAGCTATATTTAATGGGGTGTTAAAACTAATACTACCTCATAGTAGCCAAAAAGACAGAAGAGAAAAATCTAGTTAGATAGAACTTAACCACATATTTCCAATACTGTTTTCTGATCTTCAGTACTTTTGCTGTGTATTTCAGATTATTTTCCTCCTTACCATCAGCAAGATAGTAACTCATGCTTTGTCCCTGAAGAGAAATAGAGAAATTAAACATTAAACCCACAAGCTTAAGACCCCTTACCCTCTGAGTTTTCTGGGCTCCTCTTGCTTCTCAGTGTTACAGACACATGTGTAAACAACTGAATTTCCTGCATCCTTTTCTCATCTGCACTGTACTGGGACTTGGCCAATTGGATTATTTACAGCATTAAGGCCACTCCACAGTAACTTGAAAAAGATTCTCATTGGTCAGACATTATCGAAACTAAAACCACATTTTTCTTTTAAGTAAAGTCATTTACAGAAAATAAAACTTTTTGACATACTGTTCTTCACTGAGCATTACATATTCTTTTTTTTTGCCCCTCCTCCCCTTTCTAAGCTGAAGACTGTGAACCCAGTCCCCCAAATATTATGTATGAAATGAAATTAGTTATTTGAATCACAGTACTTAAGCAGAGATATTAGTACCCAACCAAATTAAGTGGATTCTCAAACCACTACTTGCTCTTAGTAAACCTCCAGAGTTTTCAATATCTTATAATAAGACTAAGTTCTTAGTCAGCTAGATGATATATGGTCCTGCAAATACATGCATTTTCATAATTAACTCAGCAATTAGCCAGGGGCTGTTGGACATTATTATGAAAAACTCTAGATTATGAGAGATATGAAAAGACCATGATGAGGAAACTTGAAAAAATATAGACTTTGAAAAGCTCATTTTGCATTAAAATTTACAGCTAAATATTAAAATAGAAGGTAAGGAATGTTTCCTTCCAGAATACAAGCTTCAAGATTTTTGTNGACAACATATGACACCACTGTCCCAAGGCTGATATCACAGGCTACCAAAACAGCAGGTCCTCAAGACATAAAACTGATCTAGTTAGACGCAGCTGAAATGATTTGCCATAGCTCTGAAAAGCTAAATATTTCTCATTAAAACAAAAAAGCCCGCATAATATACAGAACACTGACAACTCCTATGTCACAATCTCAGATGGAGAAGCCAGATTTCCTTTCTCATAGCTTTAAGCAACATAGCTCTACTTCTGTATTAACATCACAACACGTTTAGCAGCAATATAGCAGGTAGTCTTTTCATCATGAATAGTAGCTATAGCTACAGGACTCCTCTCTTGTTTGATACTTAGACTTTTTAAATTTTTTTTAAATTTATTTTCAGGAAATGAACAAGCAAATCCTCCCACTCTCATCAATTACATATGTATTCTGTGACTCCCATGACTCACAAAATCTATTCCACTGCCATGAGACAAAAGACATTAATTAAAATAGGTAAAACAGAACAAAACAAAACAAAAAAACTAAACCCAAACCCACATAGACATATATTAAAAATACCCCAAAAACCAAAAGCCCCAAACCAAAGAAAAAAAAAACCACAAAACCAACCTAAACCCCACAATAAAACCAAACCACAAGTCTGTATCAAATTAAAAATAAACAAACAAAAAAACCCCTCAATCCAACAAAAACCAAATCCAAAAATTAAAATAAAGCAATGGCTGTTTTATGCCTCTTCCATGGCTTCTTTAGCAACTACATAGATTTCATCTCCCACCAGAATACTCTCTGGCTACATTCCATTATCCCTACTTTAGGAAATCTCTTCACATTTTAGAAATCAAATTATACACACATCATAACTTAGACATTATGTTATTCACTTGTAACTATTCACATTTAAACTCATTCATGACATTCACTTTCCACCATTTTTCACTTACTACAATCTCTGAATGCAGAGGGTAGTTGGCCTGGAAGAGGCTCCCCAGGGAAGTGGTCAGAGCACCAAGCCCGACAGAGCTCAAGAAGCATTTGGATAACACTCTCAGGCACACAGTATGACTCTTGGGGATGGTCCTGTGCAGGGCTAAGGGTTGGACTCCATGATCCTTGTGGATCCCTACTAACTCAGCATTTCTGTGACTCTGTGAACCAAAAATCAGCTTCTATACTGTTACATTCTGTAGTCATGACCAATTCTTGGAGGAATCTTGATTTTGTATCATTGTAAAAGATACATTCAAATTTAATTAAAAAATTATACTGTCAGTTTGGGAAGTTACTATATGAATTGGGTTTTCTAAACTTTGATAAAAACTATCATTGACTTTGATGAGAGAATCAAATTAAAAAAAAAAAAAGTAAAAATCAAAACTCAGCAAACTCAAAAGCTTTCCGTACTAAGTATCTGAATTCCCTCCATGAATCCAGGGAATTACCAGGGAAATTAGTCTGAGATACTATTAGGGAAAGGCAGGAAGGAACCTGACACACCTATGGTGCTACATTTGATAAGCAATTGCAAATGTTTATTGAAAAAAATAAGTGGAATAGTTAGGTATTTTTGTATTTTTACTTGGAAATATATTCTTCCTTTTCAGTCTCATTTGACCACTGACCTTGCTTTGGGTCACTGTAATAATTGTGGAAAAGACATTGCCAAAAGCAAGCTTGCTAACACTTGTCCTCCACTTAGGGAACTGAATTGTCTTCCTAGAAGTCTCTGAGTATGTAAACAATTCTTAGTTCATACCAAGAACATTCATACGTTCATCAAGAGAATGAGACTCTGGTCACTATTTTTGTAAGAAAATTTTACTGAGAAAACATGAAAAATACTATAGATAGCACCAAAAATCTAGAACATATGTTTTCATACATGGCTTTAGTTGTAAACTCTGGTGTTGCACCCCTGTTTAGAGTGGGGTAGTATCCCTTCACTTTGAGTACATTTGAACTTTGGCAGCATGCCTGACCTGCTTTTTTCAAGATCCATAGAGAAGCATTAAGAGAACATGAAAGCCAAATTCTGAATTTTTAAATGTCAAGACTCATCCCTTTGGGGTCACAAAGGAAGAGACCGGATCCTTTTTAGGATTATTGAGCCAATGAAGAATATCAAATAATTTGTCTCAGAGGAAAAAGCTAGAGCAAGTCTTTTTCAAAACTTAGAATATTTACTGCATTGATGCAATTTCCTTAGCAGATACAAGAAATTAAATTACATTACTATTAAAGCCAAAACCAATAAAGCACTTCAAGTACAAATGGCAATAAATGGGAACATTCCTATTAGTGGAATTGGAAAATTGAGAGGGGTACGAAGCACTAAAATTGTAACCTTTTGAATTGTAACATTTTGAAGTTGGGCTTCCTCAAGTGTTCTCAAAAAACATATAAATACTCAGTTGTCTGTTCAGGAGACTAACTTTTAATTTTACTATTTCATATTATTCCACACAATTTCATACAAGTGAAACAATAAGCACCACAATGCTTTTGAAAGTATAAGGATAGGAGGTCATCCCTTACCGTACCTCAACCCAGACATGCTTCCTTAGATGATGAAAACACATAGAAGACAATTTGACACAGAAGATATTTCCAAGGTCTGAAGAAGAAAATGGGGACAAAAAATGTCATGTGATTTTGAATCCCATCTCTCCAGCAGAAAAAGTGAAGCCCAAACTTATATAACAAAAAAGCAAACCTATGAAGATATAGTTAGCTACAGAAAGGATAAAACAGTTAAACAAAACCACTAAAATCTCAATTCATGAGTCTTACGCAGACTTCTCTGTGTAAGAAAACATAACGCAGTTCTGTTTGATACACAGACTAGGAAAAAGACACAGGTTAAATATTTTCTAGAATTTCTCTATAAAATTAGAAATGCAAAAAAGGGGTTACATATTTCTCTCATTTTCTTCCAAGTGCTGGCACGTACTAAACAAGCAAACACAGCAAAGCTTTGCTTTCACAAGGTTTAGATGGGGGAGTGGGGGATACAGAAACGGCTTCTGTGGGAAGCTGCCAGAAACTTCACCCATGTTTGACAGAGCCAATGCCAGCCAGCTCCAGGATGGACACTGCTGGCCAAGGGCGACTCCATCACTGATGGTGGTAACCCCTCTGCGATAATTGTAGTTAAGGGGGAAAAAGTGCACCCTGCACAACAGTGATTGCACCCAGAGAGAGGAGTGAGAATGTGTGAGAAAAACAGCCCTGCAGACTCCAAGGTCAGTAGAAGGAGAGGCAGGAAGTGCTCCAATCAGTGGAGCAGTTTCCTCTGCAGTCTGTGGTGAAGACCATGGTGAGCCAGGCTGTCTTCTGCAGCCCATTGAGGTCCACGATGGACCAGAGACCCACCTCCAGCCCATGCTGGAGTAGGTGGGATGCCTGAAGGAGGCTGTGACCCTGTGGGAAGCCCACACTGGAGCAGTCTCCTGACAGGACATGTGACCCTCTGGAGAGAGGAGTCCACATTGGAGCAGGTTTGCTGACAGGATTTGTGACCCTATGGGAACTCATTCTGGAGCAGTCTGCTCCCGAAGGACTACACCCGGTAGAAAGGGTGGAGCAATTAATCAAGAACTGCTGCCTGAGGGAGAGACTCAAGTTAGAGAAGTTCACTTAGGAGTCCATGCAGACTTCATGTCTCCCATGGGAGGGACTCCACATTGGAGCATGGGAAGAATGTAAGGAGTCCTTCCCCCAAGGAGGAAGGAGCAGGAGAGATAATATGTGATGAACTGACTGCAGCCCCCATTTCCTGTCCTGCTGTGCTGCTTGGGGGAAGGACGTAAAGAATTCAGGAATAAACTTAATCCTGAGAAGAAGGGAGGGGTGGGGAGAAGGTGTTTTTAAAATTTAGTTTAATTTCTCATTACCTTACTCTGACTGGGTTGGTAAGAAATTAAAATAATTTCCCAGAGTTTTCTCTTTTACCCCGATGGTAATTGCTGAGAGATCTCTCTCTGTCCTTATCTCAATTCATGAGTCTTTCATTGTATTTTCTTTCCCCTGTCCAGCTGAAGAGGAGAGCGATACAGTGGTTTTAGCACCTGGTGTCCAGCCAGGGTTAATCCACCTCAATAGGTTACACACAGATGTAACAGGATATCATTAATAAAACCACTTATGCATGTAACACCTCAATCCTAGCTAAATAACTTTAAAAGAGATCATAAAACTTAAAAGCAACATCAAACAGTAACGTCTTAAAAAAATTCTTACTTTTATTCTAGCACAGTGATAAAGCATAACAGGAAGAAGTTTGTCCAGAGGTAATAGTTTGCTCAGCTTCTCAGTTTTCAATTCTGACTTCACTTGTGCAAGTTAGATCAATTCATG